ATGTATTCAATTTATTTATTTATTTATTATTAAAGATATTTTAAAAATGTATTCATTTTTTTTGGAGGAGGAGGGTAGTTGTTGTTGCCACTGTTGTTGTTGTTCTTGTTGTTGCTGTTGTTGTTGTTGTTGTTGTGTTTATTGTTTAAAACATTTACTGTGTGTTTTTTGCTGGGGTTTGTTTATGTCTTTTGAGTTTTAAAAAACCTTCACCTTTCTATTCCAGACACTCACATTTTCCTCGTCATTAAGAGAAATCAGTCACAGTCTATAGCGTTTCTAAGTCACATCTCGCCACCTTAGAATTACAAAGTTCTATCATACAGTTTTGGCCGTACGGAGTTACTAAAACAATAAGATTATTCGGACTTGTTATTAAAATATCCAGAGCACTGCATTCGAAAAAGCTTGACATGACTGACTCAAAAATTTTGACATCAAATTTCTCAAAACTAGGTACTGAGCAGATACTTATTTACTTACTTACGCTCTCCCTATGCCGTCAGGTACATAAGACAGAGAGCTGCAGTCGACGCCACGCTTGCCTGTCCCTGGCCACATTCTCAAATTTCAGCAAATGCAGGCCCTGGGTGATTGCCTCATCCCTTATTGTGGATCTCTAGCTTCCAGTTGGTCTTCCTCGTTTTCTTTTTCCAGTTGGTTTCCAATACCATGTCTGATAGGGCAATCTTGTCTTTGGCATCCTTAGAACATGTCCTAAATATCTCTATCTTCTTCTTTTTATGGTCGTTTTGATTTCTTCAATTCCAGCTCTTTCCAACATTTCATTATTTGTAGTAAATTCATTTTACTTTATTAGTAAAATTCTTTGTGAACATTTTGTTTGGAAGCTTCTTAATTTTCAATACTGAACAGATAGCACTTTGTGATAAATTTCCAAGGTAGCCAATTCTGTCTATTTTGCTAATCAACAGGTGTTCAAGTTAAGGCAGTATGGACTGGGCGAAGAAAATGGAGTAAATGTGAAACCCACAAACTAAATAATGCAACGACGTCGAAGTACAAATCCTGTGGTAGAAACAGAGCATTCTTCTGTTTTTCTTCTCGAAAAGGTAATCAAACAGCAGATTGTGTTATTTATGTGACATCGTGGCGGAATTAGGCTCTCGCCAAAATAATTAAATCGAAGAAACCGAAATTTTTCGGCCCGTAAGGAAATTTTTATCGAATTTTTAAATTTGGGCTTAACACAGTAATGTTACTTTCCATTTAAAATACATTCTTATGTGTTTGGATTTTACAGGAAAACGTTGATCAAAGGCACACAGAATAACCTAAATCTGCAGTTTCCAATGACACTACAGCTTTGAATGTCCTCAAACAGTGGCGGCCATCTTTTTTCGCGTATTCTATATCTGACATCAGACAACCCCCACCTCCTTCAATCCCAAAAGTCTCAACTTCTGTTCAAGATAGATGAGTGTTTTTCAGCAAAAGCAAGACAAATAAACGGCTTTAAGATAATATCAATAACTCCTTGTGCCCAAAAATTGATGAGCGCCCGATTCCATCAGGTCGTGACACCAGTTTACATTTAAGGTTTTTTACTCTCTCGAGGACAAGTTGCAGGTGACGTCGGTGGCCAAATGGTTAGGCTACCGGACCCGTAATCGTGAAATTGCTGCGGGTTTGGGGGACCGAGCCTCAGCTAGGTCCGATGTTGTGTCCTTGGGAAAGGCACTTTACACGAATTTCCCATTTGGCCCGGTCCTTAAACTCGGAGGTTCCGCCTCTTGAATAACCTAATAGTGTTGACAGGGGCGTTAAAACTATACCGTTTCACCTTTTCACAAGTTTCAGCACATTTGGAAAGCGTTGTAGTTTTTGTTCTCTCAACAGGGCGCCGAGTTCAGGCGCATCTAGGAAGAACTGACACGATACCGCCTTTCCGGAGGAGAAAATAATAATGAAATGTTAGACGTATCTATACCACCATTTTCTCCTGAGATTAACCCATAGATCTTTGGTTAATCCCAAAGAGTTTATACAGTTTGTTAGAAGATCATTTGGTAACCCAAGTTTACACATTGGGAATCTGGAATGCCCCAATTGTGCCTAACTTTTAAGTTACAGGGTTAGGGTTAGGGTTAGGGTTAGAGTTTAGGATAGGGTTAGGGTTAGAGGGTTAGGGTTTAAGGTAGGGTTAGGGTTTGGGTTAGGTTTAAGGGTTAGGATTAGGGTTAGGGCTTAGGGTTATGGTTATGATTACGATTAATGTTTGGGTTAGGGTTTCGGTGTTATCAATTTTTTTAATAGATATAATTCGGTTTCCAAGCCCTTGAGCTCACAAAATATTTTAGTAATGAGTTTATGTATCGATTCTAGTAGTTCTATTTTTATTTGCTCCGCAATTTTAGTGAAAGACCTAAAGAACTAATATCAAATCAATAGTTCCTACTTATCGTTGATAACTGACCACTCATTGTAATTTGAGAAATACCTACTCTTTATAATCGTTGTTAAAAGAAAACTATTTATTTTAATTGACAAAAAAGCACTTATCATAGTTAACCATTTTTGTTATATTTGAAAACTAACCCCTTATTCAAGTTGACAACTTAAATTACCACTCATTGTAGCTGATAAATAGCTATTACTATAGCCTGGATAGTAGATAACCACTCGTTTGAGCCCACCACTATATCTACTCTCCCCCTCCCCCGCCCCCATCTCTTCTTTTCACTCTCCTCCATCCCCATCCTCCACCCTCCTCTCATTTCCAACCTACCTCCTTACCCTCCACCACACTCCCAACCCCCCCCCGCCCCCACAACACCTCTCCTTTTTCCTCACAGGTCTGGATGGACAAACACTACTTTAGACAAACTGCATTTGTCGTTTCCTGATTGTTTTTAACATTGAGCGTCCCACTTGGGCCTCATCAAGCACTACATGAGATTACAACTAGGATTTGCTGCTTTTTTTGGATATTACCATGCACTCTGTTTTCTTTACATTCAACAATAATCCTTTACGTTCACTTTCTGTTACAACAGTATCTAGAAGCAATTTAAGATCCTTTTCGGAGCCTACTATTAAAACCGTGTCATCTGCATACCTGATGTTATTAATATTTTCTCCATTTACTTTGAGGCCTGGACATTTTTCTATGTTTCTAATGATAGTTTCACTGTACATGTTAAAGAGGTCTGGTGACATAAAACATCCTTGCCTCACCCTTCGCCTAATCTGCTTATATTCACTGTATTGTCCATTAATTCGCACAGCAGCGTTTTGATCCCAGTACAAATTTCTGATAATTCTTAGATCTTTTCCATCTATGTCTAGCTTTTCCAGTATTTTAAACAGCTCATCATGGCTAACTTTATCGAACGCCTTTGAATAATCTATGAAGCATAAATACAGATCTTTCTGTGCTTCAATACATCTTTCCATTAACATTGCTAAGGTGAATATAGCATTTCTGGTGCCCTTGTCAGGAGCAAAGCTGAATTGTGTTTTGTATATCTTTGGTCTAACACTTTTTCTCAATCTTTCCATTATTACTCGCAGCAATTTTTTAGAAAAATGACTCATAAGGCTAATTGTTCTATGCATATCACACTCAGTGGCACCTGGTGTTTTAGGTAAAGCTATAAAAACTGACTTCATCATATCTTCTGGGATCTCACCGCTGTCATACATAGCATTTAGGAGCTTTGTTGTGGTTTCAGTGCCTAGTTCTTCAAGGGCGACAATCACTTCAATTGGAATATTATCTGGCCCTGTGGCTTTTCCTTGTTTCATTTTCCTAATGGCAGCTTGTACTTCTGCTTTCAGTATTGGTGGTCCATTTATTTCATTCTTTATTACTGGTTTTTCTCCTCTATTATATTTGAAAAATTCTTCTATGTATTCTGACCATCTGTTTAAGACATCCCCGTTGTCCATTAAAATATCCCCTCCCTTTGATTTTATGCCTCCTGTATTTGCGCATCCTTTTATCCCACTTACTTCTTGGATTTTGGAATGCACGTATTTGCTGTCCTTGTTTTGGTTTTTCTCTATTTGTTGACTTTGATCATTTATCCATGTTTCTTTTGCTTTGTTGCATTTTTTCTTTATATCCCCGTTTAAGATGTTGTACTTTTCCATATTTGATTTTGCCTTTCTTCTCTCTTCCGTTAGTTTTAATATGTCCTGGGTTATCCATTTTTTAAATTACTCGTAGCTTTCTATTTTTCGGGGGGGGGGGTATTTTCTTCCACAGCTTCTATTATTGAGTCTTTCATTTTCCCCCATAGTTCTTGCCGATTTAGTCATGTTTTCCAAAACTTGAAATTTATTTCTTACATCTACGGAGAAACATTCTTTCATTTCTTGATTTGTCTTTAAAAGGGCTATGTCAAATTTAGGTTGATACTTTGACTTTTTGAGTTTCTTCAATCTTATCTGCATTTTACACATGACTGGTACATGGTCACTATCATTATATATATATATATATATATATATATATATATATATATATATATATATATATATATATATACATTAAAAACGCAACTTTTTAAAAAAGTTAGAATAAAGCCAACTAAGCTCTGATCGTCACGATTTTGGAGACATAAGTGAATAGTTTTTAGTCCACACACCCATGCATGATTTTTGCTATTTCCATGAGTACCTTTTACCATGATACAATGAACTATACTTTAGTAAAAATGTGTTCATCAGTTGATACAAAAGAATACAAATTTTGTACCTGGAAGATGACCCGTAGCTCTTTCTAATCAAAAGTGCTACCTTTTTGTCGATTGATTAAAAAAAATAAAATTACATTACAAGACTTAGCGAAGCTGATCGCAACTTTCGCTTGAGCCTTGTTCATGGCGGAAAATCTGCCCGAAAAGCAGCTATAGGGCTAAAATGAAGTGCTTGTACTGTTCTCGACTTATACAAAGATTTTAGCACACTTGAAATGTCCGGGATGGGCAAAGAATAGGACAGTCTCGAGTGATCAGCCCTGTTAAAAAAAGGCGGATATTGCTGTCGCATCTGCAGAATTGTTTCGTTTCTCACAAGTAACAGCTCAAGGCATGCATGGAGTGCGTGAAAATGTTTCTTTCATCAGTGTGAGGCGCGGAGCAGTAAATACAGGACTCGTATCAAGAACGCCTTCTTTAGGACTGCAATTAACGAAGCCGTGACAACAGCGCCGTCATCACGGTGCGAAACCTCACAAAGAAAAAATCAGAATCTCTCAGTCATCCAACACTACACTCCTGCCCTTACACTGTCCATTTAACAAACAACGCCAGTTTCTGGAAGATCATAACATGAATGTCATGGACTGGCCAGTGTCTCTACCGGATGTATCTTTTAGACACAAGGACTGTATGAACAGACAATCGGAGACTATCGGAGACATTGGAGACATCTATCTATCGATCTATCTATCTATCTATCTATCTATCTATCTATCTATCTATCTATCTATCTATCTAACACACATGCACGCTCTCTGTCTGTCTCTCTGTCTGTCTGTCCGTCTCCACCCCCCCCCTTTCACTCTCGATGTTTCAGACGGAAACCACACGATGCCAGGCCAATGGCACGGGCACCTAAAGTACAGCGGACTGTGACTGGCGCCGCACTGGGACAGTCCACTCACGCCCACACAAACTGTCATCATTCATTCATTCATTCTCTCATTCATTCATTCACTTCATTTCAGTCAGTTCAAAAGTCCAAATATGGACATAATTGAAGGAAGTGCAATATTATTATGTAAATCTGCTGGAAATCCTGTTATAGGGATGACTAACGCGTTGATAAACAAGATGTTGTCATTAAACACAAATGTAGTTAAGACTTAATTTCAGGTGACAGTCACACCTTAAAATGACAGGTGGCAATACTACTTAGTAAGACTAGGTGGCAGGTCTATGCACTCTCCAGAAGTCAACAGGCAGTTTTGTTTATCTAAGAGTGGGTGAGGATTTCACACCTCCTTTCCCACATACCCCGTTCTCACCAGACGGCTGAGGAGCGCGACCGTTGTAAATGTCATCAGGTGTCTGACGTAATCAAATGTGTCGCCAGACTTCATGGT